ATATATATATATATATGTATATATATATAAAGTCGAATCTATGAATAGTCTATTAAAGGATTTAACAAACTGACCGCTGTTTCCCAAAACCTACATGGAGTGGAACTTCTCTTTTGACTACTCATAAGTAACAAGGATTAATAACCAAGTAGTGAGCAATAAACTTCCGAAGTCTTCAAGCAGACATTCTGAAGTCCAAGTTTCCTAGCATTTAAATCCAGATTTAGGCTTCTTTCAATGTCAATAACGAACGGTTTGTCGTGTGATACAATCAATCAGTGAATTGAATGAAATAATGCCAGCGTTTATATTCAGGAATAAAGATCCTTATTCTATCCCGCATTGGTTCTCATTGGGGCATTTGATGGCAAGGCGAATGACGACTCACATTAACATTGACGAGCGGCACACCATATCGATAGGTTGGTGGTACGACATAGTCCATGTTAAATACATCCGTACTGATTAGTGGATAGAATGCTCGGCCTAGGCCAACCGCATTTGCAGATCTCTGGCAGGCGTAGATCGAACCAGCGTGGGCTCCGGTTAGTCGATTGCCCTGACGCAAATCACCTCTCAGACGTTCGTTTCGTGCCACGAGATACAACTGTTTGGGGAGAGAAACAGCAGATAAGGCGATCAACCAACAAAAAGTAGAACTGCATACCGCTTGAGCCACTCGAAACAAAATACTGTCATCGGTGTACAGAATTCCTCGTTGAAAGGGACAAAAACGAACTGGGTTTTCTTAGCTCTCTCAACAAAACATTACATCATAGGATCACACGAAGCTCTGCCGATCGTATTGCAGTGAATAAATAAATACTGCCATAAGAAGGTAAGTTATAAGGTACCACCTGTGGGAGAAAGTATTTTCCGGTGCACTTGTAGGGCGCCCAGCTTATGCGAGAACAATGAGAACGCACGATAATGTTTGCTTGGATTGGGACACTAAATCTTTTGCATTTTCGGCCGAATTCGTGGTAAAATCAAACTTTTCAAGGTACACCGGGTAGGGTGGTGGTGGTGGTGGTGGTGGTTTGTTTACAGCGACTATGGATTTCATTGTGTCCGGTTAACTGGGTTGACTTGCAACTGCCAGAGAAGGTCTGGACGCAGTAAGGTGCCATGACATACAAATGATTAGAGATCAGGTGAAGTAAGGAATACTAAGACGAAGGACACTGACACTGTCTCATTGCCACGGATTTCTTATCAAAGCTTCATTTCAATTCTTGTACTAACTGACACACACTGATCGGATCGGAAAATATACACACGGGATTCATAGTCACGAAATGATTAAATTTGTTACTTGTTATGTTTGGAGGAGTAACAAAACCTAGTTGTTTAACTTCGTTTATGCATAATACAAAATATCTCCCTCCTGGAAGAGGTCGACTAAATTATTTCCTCAATCGAGGGCGAGCAATACAGTTATATGTGGATAGCACGAGATCAACTCGTTAGAGAGGTAATGATCATGAAATCCCAATACCTTAAACTCATGCTACTTCCCAGCAAAGACTTGAAAGCATTGATTTATCTGAGTTCGAACCACCACAAACGCGGTGGATTGGCTCGGTTGACGCTCCTGCACAATGATGGACCAAAGCTGTGCAGTACTTTCAAGGAATTATGGTGATGACACACTTTGACTTTCATAACGAATCACCACAGTTCTTGTTATTGAGATAAGGGTGGACGGTGCACCTGTTGGGCTCCCAGGCTGGGGCGGGGCTCCACAGCTTCAAATTAAAACTGAAGTGTCCCAGTGGTGCAACTGCTACAACTCAAGTATAGAGCAACAGGAGTTGAAAATCGTCAACTGAGTAATGAAAACTGAAAAACGTTAATGATAATCATTTACTATGTTTCATAACCACAAACAGCTTTCCACAGAGCTAGTGTTTCAACAGAGGAAAAGTAATCGAAATAGGTAAAACTGTTTCCTATAAATATAACACTAACACTCAAACCAGATAGGGGAGGGAGCTCACCTTTTTCCCTTCAATTTGTGGGAAGTGTCGAGGCACATATATTTTCTGCGGTTCCTACACAATTCAAAAAGAGGTAGATGCATGAAAGAAGCGACTGGTGCATGTGGAAAGAAAACATGATTTTTATGATGATGTGCACAGAAAATGATTCAACAATCCTTGAATGTTTTTAACAACAATTAAAATATATATTTGTTATTACTGTTTTTTTATTAAGGTGGTGATGATGCTGTTGACATAGAAACTTATTTGGTGTTCAGCAACAGACCTTTTCTATTCAGGAAGAGTTCAAAATACACAACTATAAATTTTCACATGAATGATTAGCCCTTGGGGTTTTAGTTTAACAGAAGAAATCGCCCTAACACTGAGCTTGTCATGTTCACAACGGTATGAACCTAGAAGTAGAACTGTAATGTATTTCATGAATGGTTGTCCCATAAAGGTTTTTGGTTTGCGGAGGCATATCCAATCAGAGTACAATTGCCCACCCACATGTGAGTACAGACAATGTTTTCCATTAAATGGGGCCCCATACGAAGGTGTGATTTGGACATCTTTTCCAATCGGATTAGGGGTTGCATAAATTAACTATGGTTATTAGATCGATCACTCCTGTCGATGAAGTGTGAGTGGTGTGACTTAATAAGAACCGGAAAATCGATAGGAATGGATTGCGAAAGTCAGTATGAAATATTCACGGATGAGTGACCTATAGAGGATAACAGAATCAGTGAACCTGTACACAGTGCTTCGCATTAACCCAGCGCTTCTAGAATCGCTAAGGCTGAAGTGAATTCAAATGAACCAAATAAATATCACTAATAGTTTGGTAACTAACAAATTCAACTCGAAAGGACAAATAGTGAACGCGAAAGAGGAACAAAACCCAGGAAAACCGAAAACAATAAATTATTGAATAAATCTATGCGAATTCATTAGTGTTATATTGGAACGTTATTTCACGATGGCAAAATTTTAAATTTCCCGGAAAATGGTTGAAGATTTTATTTAGTTTGCTGCATGTGCAATTCCGGTGCGTTGATAAAGTGCCAAAAACAATCTTTTGTAATGAAAATTAAAATATGGATTGCTTAGTTGATGAGGAAAAATCACTGATGATGGATCGATTTGTTATTTGACAAATAAAATCCCCCAAGGTTACTTATCTTTCACGGGGCTAAATCAGCGTGCACAATCTGGCTTATAAAAGAAGGATAATTGACTTGAAAATTGCACGAAATAATGCATGGTAAAATTTGTATTATCAAGTTGGTAACCATAGTGCATTCACAACGAACAGATCAAAATTGAAACCACGTGGCCCACTGCATACCACGTGACTTACAATTAAGCTTGTATACGATTTCTATCAAATCATGTGACTCGTTAACAAGTTTACATTTCCAACTCGGACACTTCTCTTATTGGTTACCACACATACCTATCGGACAGTTACAAAGGTTTCACTAAAAAAACTTAGCACAATACATGATTAAATGATTAAATTAAGCGATTAAATGATTTCCCGGGAATGAGTAACAAAAAACGCACCTCTGGAGTATACAAGCAAAGCTTTTGCCAAGCCTATCCCATTAGGAACATTATGCAAGTGTATATCCCGAAGGTTACGTTACCCATTTCTTCTGATGTTCAGTACATACAAAACGCATGTAACTGATAAAATGTACAACCACACGTATGTCTGCATGAACTGATGACTCAGTCGACATTGAAAACAGCAACAGATCTCCATACCTCAATACTTATGCAAATAAGACTTACCGGCTCGGGGATAGGCATGTTGATTGCATCCGACTGTGACATCTGTTCAGTGACGGTTTGTTGGTCAATGGATGGGGATGAACGGAGTTGGTGGGTTGGTGGAATTGTAGAAAAAATAAACAGGATGCTGTTGTGACAACGGAGCAGCCCATACAGTCTGGCAAGAGACAATTCTATGGGAATCATACGTACTGCATAAGATGTTCAATTTATGAATCTCGTTGATGATAAACATAGAAACAAAAAGAAATGACACAAAGATAAAATAAAACTAAGCATTTCATGAGCATGCTATCTAAAGCTAAAGCGGGGGAGCAGTGAAGCAGGACGGAATGTGGTGTAGTGGATTGGCAAAAGTAAAAGGGATTGTGTTGTGTTTTATTATGGAAGGTTATGGATAAGAGCAATTGAACAAAACTGGACTCATAGATCGGATATGTCACCTTGTCTAAGGAGCGGTTATGACTAAGCGGCTAATATCGCATATAAAACATAGAATTAGTAACCATAGAAAAACTAAAAACTGCAAGAGTAGAACAAAACATTTCATATGAGGCTGAGCTGTAAAGAAACCGAGGAGAAATAAAGCGAAGCGAAAGATAACGATCTAAACATGACCGAACCGAAACGCTTCAACTTGATGCCCAAGCACAAGGGATCAAGGGAGCGATGTCGGCAACAGACTTACAGAAGCCCTTTTGCGCTCGGCACCCTTGAGATAAATTATGAGATAAAGCAGGTGTGGAAACAATGAAGCTCAAAGACGGAGTAACCAACATGGCCCGTATTGAGAGGGAAGGAAGGGGAGTAGCATGTATGTATGTATGTATGTATGTATGTATGTATGTATGTATGTATGTATGTATGTATGCATGTATGTATGTATGCGTGTGTGTATGAGATAGAGGTTGACGAGTAAAACCAACACAGATAATAGTTCTGCTTTTCTGAGTTCTCAGAGCGGAGTGTGAAGTAACGGATGAAAAGCGAAATAGATAAGACGAATTCAATTCCCACCAACGCATTTTGTGGGACAGGTGTGGTTGGGTTACCAGTTGGCTTGGGCTCAGTTTGCACTCCGGGAACTCCACAAGTGAACGTATGTTAGGCAACAGAATACAAATAGATTCAAACGGATGAAAATGCAACAACAACAACAATAGCAGGAATAACCCCAATCAGTAACAAACACGGTACCAATAATGAGGAGAACACAATCGGCAGATCAGAATAGCTTACCATGCTTATCACGCGCCACGTATTGGTTTTGTCACCTGTTTTCAAATAAAATGTGTCAACTTCTTTCACGTAAGCCATTGTTCCGATGGGCAATGTGTGTGATGTCTTGCTTAGATCACTTTCCCGTTCAAATACCATGGCCTGGAAAGTGCAAAACGGATACCAGAATGTGAGTTGTGTTGAATAAGAATTAGGGCATTCGAAGTGACTCAGTGTAACAAGCTTGACACTCATGATGTCAAAGTATGAGATTCTTTTCAAACATGTTAGTTCATTCATATGAAAGGCCATAATTTTTTCAAATATAAAGTGCTTTTCCAGAATGCGGAATTGACATGTAATGAAGAAGTCTCGAAAGCAAAGCACAGATAGTTCATCCGAGCTAGAAATCACCATTAGTGCACCGAGAATTAAGCACTCGAAAATGGAGGTCTTTCGATACGGCAACCGATGATAACCGTCGATTCAGTGTGACACGTTAAAATAATTGGTGGGGTGGGACATCACCAGCCCAATCAATCCCGGGGTAAATGACCCTTCAGTGTAATATTGATCAAGTGGAGGTTTGAACAACGTTCACGAATGAACTTGGTGATCACTGATTCGCTTACGTCACACTTGAAGTTGGTATTGAATAAAAGACCAACAAAGTTTTCTCATCCCAACTCTTTTTAGATCGAATCCGTTTTTGAAAATATCCACTTTATTTCGGACATTGGCGTGCAAATAGTATCTGAGTGAATACACCATCGCGTGTTTCTTCCATTCACCGTTTGTGAGTGTTTCGCTATGATTCTGTCCTGTTTCACACCTTATATTGATTCAAAGAGCTCATGTTTTGAGATATTCTGCGAAGGGTTTTATGCAACCATTGCTATCGATAATTATGCTATTATTATCAGGAATTTACTGCTTGCTGTTTCGCGGTAAAAATGAATCAAATTCAGACCGATTACTGACCATATACAAGTAATGAAATATTCAAAATTGTATTTTTTGCTAGCATTTTTGATTTGCGTAAGTAACGGCCTTGTTTACGGCCTTCAGTGTGTGGATTCATGATAGAAACGCCACGGTTCGAGTTTCAGCTAGGACAAAAACTGTATGTACCGTTGATGAGTCCTAGAAAGAACGAAACAACTGTGCGTCACTCTTTATCAGTAATCACGAAAGGAACAAAACTACGCATAACTGAAATACTTACTCCAAATCCGGTCACTTCGCCGTTCTGAAAGCGGTTACTTGGCCTTTGGCTTACCGATGGGCTATCGTTTGGTTTTTCACAAACACATTTGCCAGGATCACCCCGTGGTCCACGGAACAAATCGTGAATCTCCTGTTTATGTATAGAAAGTACAGAGCCAATGGTGGATTAATGTTTACAAATACACAATAAAAATGCGAACATTTTTATTCGATTAATGACATAAATTACCTCAACGGGATGAATCAAACCACGGGGGATTTGTGCTTGGGTCAGTGCGCATTCAAGCAGGAAGGAGTTAAAAATTAATCAGAATAGGAAATCCCATTAGGAGTGAATGTTTCCTTCTCCGTTGTAAAAATGTGGGTTTGAATGTGGTGTTCGAAACCTTAATTGAATAGTTGTCTCTTTTTGTTGCGGGACTTGTTAGCAAAGTATAGACAGAGGAGAGGCCACAGTAGCTGTGTTATATAGTGTTTCTCATGTTTTTTGAAGCGGAAAAATTATCAAATAATAAATGATATTTTTACGCAAAACTCAGTACTACTCAAAGAGAACTCGAGGCCTTAGCAACAACAACAATCAAACTTCGTACCAAGAAGCTCCTCCAAAGAGTAACTGTAGCTGAGTGATGAAACAGGTTCACGAGTATTTGCCTTGAATACTAATATGGAGGATAGAGAAACCTAAGAGTTCTCAAGACCTATAATGGAATATGAAACACGAATAAGCTAAATGAGATAGAAAATTTGGGACAATAATAATCAGGTTCATCTTTATAATTCCGAGATAACGAATATCAGCGAATGCTTATGGTGGAGGTGGTGGTATCCAGGGTGAGGACAAACGACTGTGTTGCACTTCTGTAGTGAAAAACATAATCACTGTTGAGAATAGAAGAACAGAATCACAGTGACTGACTGCATCGTTCTGTGCGAAAACAACCCCGGGGAATGGGTCCAAAGGATCTCTAGAGGTTGATTACCCACTCGTCTTTTTTGTTATCAATCTTCCGAAATGGATCACAGACAAGCCCAAAGGACGAAGGCAGCATTTCAAATTGATTCGGACAGGATTTACGGGATTTCCAGGACAGTATTTTACTCATTTAAAAAAATCCAGAAGAGAACTTCATAGAAAGTGAGCTAACTTACTGGCAGGGATAGATAGTTCTTGACCATTTCTCGTACGAAGGATACAGATCGTTCGTCATTGACATCAAATTGTCCGGGATCTCCCTTGTCACCCTTTTAAATAATAAGAGTAAGAATTTAAGATATCAGATTGCAGAATAGAAATTAACCGATAAAACGTAATACTTTCGATCGGTCCTTCTTTGACAATGGGAGAAATTGAAACATTTATTGATGATCAGCTACGTCAGTGGCAAACCAAAATATTGATCTATTACTTTTCATTCCCATGGATTAAATGGGCCAAATTTTGTATGTATTACATCTGTGAACTATTAATATGAATAAGCAGTTGGGCACGAACGTCAATGTACTTAATGAACTTATGTTGACATTCAAACTTTGAGCGTTTAACTTTTTAACTATATAATTTTCACTAGGGAATGCCTTACAGTTAGATTTTGTGAGGATGATGACAGAACATGAATGTTATTGGTCTTTTATTTCAACCGAACTACTTAGATAAATTTAAACATCATTCACTTTGATTAATTTAAGAAGCGACTTACGGCTACTGAGTAATCAATATTATACAGTTCCATTAATGAAGAAAGTGTGTATGACACTCGATAATGAACCCATCCAATTGACAGTAACCATGCGAATTCTTGTTCGCCCATTGTCTACCGTTATTATCACGGATTTTGCCCTTCGAAACTTACCAAACTGGGCCTTCTTCCCCAATTTCTTACGCTTGGGAGACTCAGTCACAAGCGTTCTGCCAAAATTACCAAGATACTCCAAAAACGCGCCTAATGTCGGTTTCTAAATCCTACTTTTTTCCACCAACCACGGAACGGTGAAACACCTGTTGACATTTTGTTTTTCATTCCACCCAGAATCGTTTTGTATTTTAGAGCACAATCAACTAGTTGTAGTTCAGATGAAACTTCCTCCGTCTTCGTTACCTAGTAAGCTCTTTAGTCTACATCAAGCATGCCGTGCAACAAAAAGGTCTACGATAACTTAGACATTCTGGATACTCAAATAGCCAGCCGAAATAGAAGTGAGATTAAAAATCTCATTTCCAAACTAAATTCGCCAATGCTACCGATTATTCAATCTCGAAGTGAATCATAATCACGAAAGAATCCCACATAAACCATAGTGGGATGTTTAAAAAGGAACTACCCGCATGGTTATGTGGCATTACTCCGTATCGATTTTACTGTATCCTTATGAGTTTCAAATTCAGTCGGAGATGAATCGAATTGATGTGGTCTGTAGCAGCAAAAAGACACGCACTTTTTCCCCTGGTGGTCCTGGGGGTCCTGGCAAAGCAGCTTCTCGACATTGCTCGATCGAACATACTCCCGGTGGTCCTTGTTCTCCCGGGGGACCCTACATGGACCAAACAAAGAATAACAGTAAAAGAAAACTTTTATAAAAATGGATTCTTGAGAGTTAGAAAGCTACAATTGTTGCCAAAACCCTTAAGATTTGGACACCATAAAACCTCACATTCTTTGCTCCACTTGATGCAAATGTTCAAACATAAAGTTAGTAGTTTTTGATGAGAGTATCAGTGATGTAACCTTCTTGAGGTATAGAAATAAAACACTTCTAAAATCCATCTTTTACATGAGGCCCTGAATTATAAATTTGAAGACCATACTTTTGTGAACGGTACACTTCTCGTACAAAAACATACGAATGTTTCTCATTTTTTTAAATACATGAAGGTGAAGTCTTAAGGGCGGTTAGTTCCAATTAATCAATATCAATTGTCCCGCAAAACTACTCGTAAGTAAAATGTGCTTAAAATGCGAATTACTAACCCAGCCTAGTAGGTTTCTAGCCAGTTAGCCCGTAGCTTGCATGGAAGACCGGATTTGGTGGGAGGCTTTCGATTGGAGTAAACAGATAGTAAACTGTGTCGCCCTTCGTTGCTGTCGGGCCAAATAGCACTGACTGACTATCTCTGAAGACGACGACTGAACAAATATGAACTGGTAATTCTGTTCAGCTCTGACATGAGCTGATTAGCACAGTGGTGACACGTCTTCCATGCGATTGGTCAAGAGTTCAAATCCGGTACGGGGCGGTGGATATGCACTACTGATGAGCTCTAATAAGGGTGAAGCTTGACTCTAGAGCTTCCTAGTGTATAGTTGACTGGAAGAGCTGAAAAATGTGCTTGAAAGTGAAGTCGGAAGAACAATCAGTTCCAATCAACCAAGAAAATAAAATTATTGATGTAATTTCTCTCGTTTTCTCGTTTTCGTATTCATATCCATTAGGGCAAAAAACGGTATTGGATTTCAAAGACGTGGTTCTATCGTGATTAAAAAAGACTAACCACGCGCATCACCGAAAAGCTCCGGAAGCTGCTTCATCCTACTTAGGAATAGATAGCTGTGTGCATATCCACTGAATCCACGGACTTCGATGGCGAGTGGCATGGCAACTCTGTATGGGGAATCGATCTTCATGACCGACGCAATTAAATTTTTTCGTCGAAGTTCGATAGCAACCAATCGAAAGAGTGTCAAATTCATCATTTATCTGATTAATTGTGTTCTGGGTTCATTCTATGAATAGGTTCATTGTTCTGATCAGTGACCCTTTTTGTGAGCAAGATTCGGGGGTCTTCTCGTTTTCCAATACATGCTTCAGTTCACCTACCTCAAAGAGACTGATGAACTGTGGTCAAGAGTTCCAGGCTCAGATATAGGGTCACGTGAACATCATGATTGAGTCTTCACCGGCCTGCTTACTTCTCGAAGTTCGCAATCGTGTTGTTGATTATTGCCCTGGATTCCGGACAGAATGTCTTCGCTGGTCATGCTCACGAATGAGCTCTGACGTGGCTCCTTGATCAATACCACACCTTGGGGTTTCGGGCACGCACAGATCCAATGTAAATTGATGATTGAATTTTACACTTAGATTGACAAATCCACTGGTCTATTATTGATCCGCCCGCTCGTTTGTAGCTGTGTACGACACGACATGCCATAGGCACTTCATATGTGAGCAATTTACAATCTAATATCGGGATATATCCAGTGAAAATCATCAGTCGTCGAGCTGGAGGATTTGACTCTGTGATAATACAGCCTTTGTTAAAGACAAATTCACTGATTTATTGAACGGGGAATGGTGAATTTCTAAGTTAGATAAGGGACTGATTCACCCATCCTCCTTAATTCCTCAGTTTAATAAAACAGACCAGGACTTTTGACGAGATCAATAAACGATACATGATGACAACAACACCGGCATCTCACTGGTGTTAGAAACCAAATCCCGGAGTTGGCCCGCTTGATCGATTGTTTTTATCACAACATTGTGTAATGAACAGTAAAAGGAGTAACCGTTTGATCATAGGGAGCAGCGAACATGGCGAACATGAAGACAGGTTTTGTATAAACCGGGGAAAAGTGGTGATTTTATTTTCCGAGATACCGTCGGCCAAGGGACTACGCGTTAAATTTTCTCGACAACGAACCGCACACCACTAGTATCGACCAGCCAGAAGCCAAAGCTGAGTGACAAAGATAATACACGCAGATGAAGGCCTGTTTAGTCAATGGCATTTCTTTGTACATACCATTTAATTATTCATTCCGATAAAAGAATCGATATTTCGTTGACTTTCGTGCGCCTCGTTGGCTGTAGTATTTTGGCAGACTAATACCAGTGTCATGCCTGATTCTTGATTAGTGTCTATTCCGATGCCGCAGTGACATGGAAGCGGCCAACAGTCGGACAGTTTGAAGTCAAACTCACCAGGGACTGAGCTGAATTAGACTTCATAGGTGTAGCCCAGGACTGCTTCATGCAGAGCTTGTTACTCACTCACTGTATTGCAATAGAATGACATGAGCAAGTATCTATGCTAACGGTTTAATAAAAAATGTTCATCGTTACGCTGGGAAAAATATGAATATGTCTCATATAGCAGTGGTAGAGGAAATCGAAAGATGGATGATCTTCCATACAGATTTCAGTAAGTTTCTTTAGATTTCTTTTCGTGTCAACCAGAGTGCTGTTGGTTCGAGAAGGCACAGCCGAATTACAGTGAAAATTTGATATGGGATACGGTGAGGCACAAATAAGATCTGATTGCGGGAGAACGACAGGTGAACAGGAAAAGGTTCGAGTCGTTTGGAGTGGAATTCTCGCAAGAGGTTATGCGAAGACCACCCAATTTAGTGATAAAAATAATCCTAGGAAAAAGGGAAACATCGTTGGTGATTGCAAAGCGTGCAGAAAAAACCAGTGAAATCATAGTAGGTCAGGAAAATCCCAGGAGTAGTGAATTATGATCGAGAAAATGCACTGATAGACAGAAGAACAGGTAGTTTAATGCAGCACCCGTAATTGTCTCAGTTCACTTATACCAGTTCACACACTCTAGCTAACTCCCTGAGGTGACCTGTAGATATTCAATAATGCCAGTGTTTTGGTTATGGGTAGTACCTAGATGACAAAAGACTGAAAATTCAATGGAAACGTTTAAAAGTGTTTAAGTGAAGACCAAATGATAGGATTGATTGAGAATGCAATCATCAACCTCCCGGCTTAACTCAAATAACACCTATGCAGTTGGGTTCGTGGATCCGCACTGCTGCAGAGGTTCAACAGGGTCGCAACGGCTCAACAATATTTCCTTGCTTTCAGTTCACGCTTTGTCTGTGTTACACTTGGTGAGACTCGCTGTATGACTTCCTCATGCGTCATAACCAAGTATACGAAACTTTTAGTTCCCAAGTCTTTTCGGAAGATTTCCAGGATACAGCTGACCAAGCGAGTAAGACTTTGTGAACAGCAGATCGATTAGTCAGGCAAATTACCGACAAGTACATCGAATGTGCTTTATCTCCAGAACCAAAATGGGCCTCCCTTATTTGGTTATAACAGAAAAGCCGTAACAACAAATAGCCAGTCCCACTTGCTTTTTATTGTACAATTTGCTCAGGATTCTCTTCTCGTTCCAGTCACTTCCAGTAGGAGGGGGGGTAGAATTGTTGATGAAATCTATCGCTAAACTGCTGAGCTCTTTGCGGATCGCCTCCGAAATCCTCAGTATCATCTGGGATGCGTGTCTAAGGTAGCGGCTGGTCACCCGTCCCTTGCACCTCACGAAATGCGCCCATACGACCAAGCGTCTCGAATAGCCTCTGCTGAGGAAGCCCTACTCACTGCGTTCACGTGGCGGAAGTATTTTCCCACCAAAGTGAGAGGACAAAACGCCGACATTCGGGGCTATAACCGGGTTGGTGGACCACTAGTAGTTCACCTAGGGGAGTTGGCGAAAGGCCCTGATTCCAAACCAACCATGAGGAGGCGTACGAACCACACACACCTTCACGGTTGTGGCAATGGTCACCGGCTCAATTAGGCATCGAGATGTATTGGGCACCTTGGAAGTTTGACTCAGTCCGAAAGATGTATGATCCGATGAACTGGACACCGGATCTCAACGGATTGCGGCTTTTGCACACCGCCTCGCTTCCTTGCGGGTCAGGCTTTGGCTAGCCGAAAGCTCCAGTTGTGGATTCCCCAAGAAAATTCACCTGCCTTGGCCTGGGCAACCTGGTAGTTTTCGGCCCAGATGCGACTCGTGGAGCGTTTTCCTTTTTATAAAGATTATTTTACCACGATTTGTTTGGCACATAGTGTGGCATCAGATGTGTGTGAAATTTAATATAAATAACCTATAGGCTCGGGGAGATTATTTACTAATGAAAGATAACGGGGGCCGGTTTTAAGACTAAATGGAACTTCAATTCACTTATTAATGTTAACTACAAGAGATTGGGGCACGAATGAATCATGAAGTTCATTTAGGCTGTTTTGGAGAGGTCAAACACTGACTGAACCAAGAGACGGGCAACCAATCACAATATCATCAGCATACTTGCAAGCAATTAATTTGATGGGAATTCGGAGATTCTGTATGTATATAGAAAAAAAGAAGGGAAAAATAACACCCTGAAAACATCAGCTTCAATGCTAATAGAAGACGACTGTGTCCCATTCAATGAAGTCTAGGCCCTACGGGAGAAGTAGTCGATTAGTGCATTCAAGACTTCAGATGTCAGACAACTTGAACTGATACCCGCACATGTTGAAATTATATTCGCACAACCTGGATTGAAAAAAGCATAGATATCCATAGCTTTACTGTGATAATATAATAGTACTAAATTAATCTGACTTTGATTGCACATGTTTGTGAATTACACCAAATCAAAAAATATCAAACTTAGTTATGATGGGTATATGCAACATCGAACGGGTGTTCGCTGGGAACGATCTAATGGATCAAAATTAAATCAATAAACATTCTAAGAAGTAGTATCAAAAATCCCTTGCTCGCTCTCTACTTTTGTTGTTCAATGATTTTTTTCTCATGAACCCGGGGGCAATCTGTCATGTTTTGTTTGCTAGCTCCAANCCCAATGGGTAAATTCCCTTTTAACCCAAATTATTCATTTATTTATGATCTTAGTAATACAAAAGTACAGAACGTTACCAATTGCCTCTATCCTCAGGTATAATAGAATAACGGCTTTTATGTAAATGAGCAACTAACGAAGTGTTAATCAAGTGAAGTGCTCCAA